ACACACACACACACACACACACTTACACAATTATATGGTCTAATTATTAGTTCGAATAATGTACACACCTACGATGGTTTATCGGTGACCATATAACCTTCGTCGATATAACATAACAATCTATATGCTTAGCTGCTTGCCTGATACGTCTGTCAGACGTGTATCGTCTTATACCTAAAAATACACGCATGGATGAGTGTCTTGGGTCACGTGTATAACGAATGTAGGAGTTAAAATAAGAAAGATATTTTGTATCGTCCTTTCCTTACTAAAACGAAGCCCACATACATGTGTAGTAAGTACGCATGTATACTAAAAATATAATATTTATGTACGTTTACCAAAAGTTTGTATCCAATTAAATTATGAATTTAATATAACACGTTCAGCATGCTATTAAAAAGAGCCTATTCACCGTTTTTCTTGTTACGTTAACATTTTAATAATAATATTATACACAATGAGGTTATTATAATCTCAAGTATCACGTCTTATGTAGGTAGGTACCATTTATAAATGTGTTGCCAATTTATAGCGTAAAGTTTAAGTTATTGCTATGTTTTATTAATGTTGCTAGACTACAAGAGAACATCATTTTCTGGAAATAAATTTTGATAAGTTATATAAACTTCTAATAAATCGAGAAAACCATGAAAACGATAAACAAAATAATTAAAAAATATTTTTATACTAATGCACGCTGTAAGTACATTATTAAATTTGACAAAATTCTCTTTTTAAAATGTATGTATTGCGTTTTAATAATCTATTTTAAAATCCATTTCCATGATTGCACTATGTAATTTTTGAAGCTTAGGTTTGGAATAAGTAACAAAAATACAGTTTTACATTTACATTTAACTTTAATGTTAAAACGTTAATGTTGTTTCTCGAGTACGTTGTAACATATAAGTAGTCTGTTTAACTCAATATTGATCACTTTCAAAATGATTCAAACTCATTTTTTACAGTGATTATTTTTGTAGTCTTTTAGAAGAGGTGTTCTTATTTTTAACATATTTTGACATAGGTACTGAAATATTGATACTCGAAATATTAAATAAAAATATTTGTTACATTGCAGTTATGATATTCAAGAATGAAATATAATTTTAAGTTATTGATAGTAATTACTTAAAATTTTTCTATGTGTATTTATAAAACGAAGATTTTTAAATTGTATTTGAAATAATATCATAGACGGAGGGCTTAGCTCCCCCCAAAAATGAAAGTCCTCTCAAAATGATTGAACATTTTTCAAAATTAAATAGGTGACTACTTTGCAAAAATACAAAGAAAGATTTAAGCCCTCCCTAAAATATCCGCCTATGAATACTATATTGAACTTTAAAGAAAAGTAAGAGAGTTAATACTTTACAAATTATGTTTATTTTCAAATGACTAGTAATTAGTTAGCACTGAAAATAATAAAATAATATTTTGTTTACTTTCAATATAAATAACAAATAAAGAATGGTTCGGAGGTGGAAATATAATAATATCAAAAACATTTAATACTCATTTTCTTTATTGATATTTATATTTTCAATAAAGTTGAAGCTAGTAGTAAAATATAACTATTAATTTTAACATTTTCGTTAAAATGTTTGAAAATTTGTTAATTTACATCAAACATAAATAAAT